CAGCCAAAGCATTTTCTCATATCCTAATGAAGAGGTTCTGAGTCTTTTATTAAATACAGATCTACTCATCCCATGAAAAGAGTTACATCTCTTAGTTATATTATTATGTACCTATTTTCATTACGTGATTGGCGTCCTAGGTTCAGTCCTTTACAGAAGTTCGACAGACGTCAAAGGCAAATAGCTTTTCTATTATTTCTAGTTATTATAATGAGGGAAATGTTACATAAAATCTAATCCTATTATAGTTAAATACGCAAGTTTAGATAGGTATATGTTTGTTAGAGTTTGCTGCCCAAACTGCTGAACGGATCTCGATGAAATTTGGCACAGAAGTATAACATAATCTGGAAGAACACATAGACTACTATTTTTTATTTTTAGTACCTTCCTTTTTAAGTATTATAAATGCGAAAGTTTTTATGTTTAATTACATATTTACTAGATGATATCTCATAAACGGTTGAACGGATCGGGTGTAGAGCACTGGAAGACCACATAGGCTAGAATTTTTTTGAATTTCGCGCAGATAAGTCAGAGGGAAACAGCTAGTTCATAAATAAAACGAACGATGAAACAGTTACACATTTCTTAATACCATTTAAACACTACTATATTAATTATAATCGTTACAAAAAAAAATTAGTTGTCTACATTTTTTTAATCTACGAAATAATTCCACCCAGCCTGGATCTTATTTCGAAGATTGTTATCGTAATATTAGATACATGAAATTATAATTACATTGGAATTTAAAAACAAAATAAAAAAACAAACAAGTATAGTAGGGTAGGTATAATTTGGCATCATCTTAGGTAATTTATGTTGTTTAGTCGACGTTTGTTAGTTTATTTATATCCGAGGTTCTTGAAGAGTCCTTCATTCATCGCGTGCTCGAAAAACGGACTTTCCCTGAAGATGACGGAGGCATCTGATATGTGCATCTGACGTTTTCCATATCTGAAACATAGAACGCGTAGGAATAAAAAAAGAGAGCCTATGTGTTCTTCCAGACTATCCTCTAGATTTCTACTAAATTTCATCGAAATCTGTTCAGCAATTTATGCTATAAACTCTAACAAACATCCATCCATCTAAACTTTTTAATTTATAATATTAGTATGATGTGTATGGGAAATGGTTAAATGTTATTTTAAAACAATTACGAGTTACCACCATTACAACCTTTGCATTTTTCCTCGTTTTGAAGCAGAGAGTATGCAATTATTAATTTTGTAAGTAAATCTATACTATTATAATAAACCGTAAACACACACTTCTTTGTTGCCTAAGATGTCAGCAATGACAGCATATTTTTAAATAATTATTTTTTTAATAAAAAGCCCTACACTTACGTCGCGCTTTAGGCTATATATTTTCACGCCATTAAACTTAGGGGGTAAATATTTTAGATAAAAAACCTAATGTGGGAAAGAGACCATAAGTTGTTGCCAACATCAAGGAAGCAAGATTGTCAAGGTTTGTCATGTCATGTAATTTTAACATTTGCTATCGATAATGTGACAAATGTAAACAATAAAATAAAATTTTCATAATTTCATGCGGATGAAGCCGAACGGGAACAGCTAGAACCTAGTGATACTCTTGTCTATTTCATTCCTTAACGAAAAACCTTACTATCCTGATTCAAACTATATTATGGCTTATATTGTGAACTTATATTGTGCAGTCTGCATTTGGAACACATATGTGTTGTACTATATTTGAAGCGTGTATTAAGTTTGGATTGTATTATACCTGCCCCTGCCATGCACGGAGTAGTACTCTTGCAGTTCCTTGAGATAGTTGGAGATCTGCTCGGCGGTGTCGAAGCGCTCGGGGCGACGCGGGCGAGGGTACTGTGCTTGCGCAGCGCACAGCAACATGGCCGACAAGATCAACATGGCGGGGATCAGGATACGCATCCTTGCTGTAAATTGACAAAAGATTGGAGGTTATTTACTAGTTTCTACCAAGCTAATGCTAATGTAAAGTAATAATTTACTAAATTCGTATTTTAAAAATGTAATAAGACTATATAAGATATATCTTTACTGATATTTAAAAAAAATAAAAAGAAGGTGTTGTAGAGATGTACCGATAACTAATCTAAAAAGTGTTATTTTTGCATTAACTACGAGACAAAATTATTGCATATACGAGCTGTTGCTCGCGACTTCGTCCATGTAGAATAAAAAAACAGTAGAAAACATAGCCAAAGTTACTCGATGATAACGTAGCTCTTTAATGATGATTTTTTTTTCTTAGATCCAGTACTTTTTGAGTTATTTTAATACGTACAAAAATACAAATCTTTCCTCTGTATAATATTATTATGGATGTACAACATCGTAACATGTTAAAAACGTTTACATACTTCAATTTTTAACACAATTAATAAGCAAAACAATTAATAACAAAAGCCTATAAACAAAGGTCATTTTCCGATAACGTACTAGAAGTGACCTTTTGCATAAAATAAGGATGTGCGTGACACACTTCCAGCAATATCGATTCAATAACAATATTATCGATACCGACGATATCTCACTGATCTTTTGATCACTATTTAATTGTCGAATCGATGTTATATTACAGCTGCTTATATAATTAAATGATCCGGTATCGTTTGAACTTATGTGGGAGTTTACACTAAAGTAGATTTCAATTTTACATATATTGTTTAAGTTTATTCATTACTTAAAAGACAGCAAACGTTACAAGTGAGATAAAGACAGAATTCAATTACAAGTATTTTTAAAAAATAATTTGAAAATAACGGTCAAACTCACATGAGATTCACAACAGTGGTAAAATAATATTAACTAGGCAAAGAGTACGTCTTATGTCTTTTCTATCCTATCTGTCCCCCTAAACAAAGTGGCCTTCGATTACCGATGTCGCTTCTAGAATCGACAAAATGTGTTAAAAGTCATAAGAATGAATACGTGACAAGCACGTGACTTATCGAATGTTATTGGCAGTTCCATACATTTTAGTCTTTTCGATCAGGGATATCGATACTCGAATGTTACATTGTTTTGTGGGCTGTACCCTTCCCGTGCTACATTTTATCCCATTGATGAAAAATACAGCGTATTTTATTCAATAATAGTTGCTTTCTTATAGCAAAAGAATTTATGAAATCTGTTAAATTATTACGGAGTCTATTCAGTGGAAACAAACAATTTATAACATCGTGCATTCATTCGCGCAGAACTGAATAAGTAAACGTAAGTAGCTTATGTATTCTTTCAGACTTTGCTCTATGTCAATACTAAATTTCATCAAGATCCGTTCAGCAGTTTAGGCGGAAAATACGAACAAACATTCTATACTTCCGAATTTGTAATACTAAAACTAAGATTGTTTTCTATAGTACAATATCGATTGACAAAAGATACTTTAAATAAAAAAATAACGTCACCCAAATACGCACATGTTACATTTATTCCGTAATTAAAAAGTTAGTAAACATCTGAAATGTACTTCGTTAGTTTGAAAACTTTGAAGTACACGTTGTAATAAAATGCTATACGCATTTTAATTAAGTACAACTTATTGTGTTGCAAGAAAATCACGTGATTCGAAACATTGGAAATCATACTTCATACTAATATTATGGAGGGAGGGAGCGTCGGTGGCTCAGTGGTTTAAGCACTTGACTTGTAATCTACAGGTCTTGGGTTCGAAGCCTGCTGTACCAATGTGATTTTCGATTTTTCGAATTTTCATATGTACATAATTTACCCGACGTTCTTACGGTGAAGGAAAACATCGTGATGCCTGCACATATCGGCGAAGAAATTCAAAGATACGTGTGAAGTCGGCCAGCCTGACTATGGCCTAATCACCTTTATTTAGAGTAGGCTCCGAGCCCCTCGGTAGGGACATATAGTGAGCTGGTGACGATGACAAATATTATGAATGCGAAAGTTTAGATGGATGGATGTTTGTTAGAGTTTGTAGCCTAAACGGCTGAACGGATTTCGATTAAATTTGGTACAGATGTAGAACATAGTGTGGAAGAACACATAGACAATACACTTTAGTTTTTTTTTAATTCCACGCATATAGAGTAGCGGGCGAAAGCTAGTTAAGTCATATAAGTACAACTTATTGTGTCGCAATAAAATCACGTGATACGAAACATTAAAAATACTTTATAAGTTAATAAGTAATGTTTGCACTTTCGATTTAACAGCCTCGAATAACTTTTTGCACTGTTGCCTAAGATTTTAACTATTTGTAGAATTTGACCTCGTTTTGTTTACATATTTTATGTATACAATTGGAATACTTATTTAACTATAAGCATTAAAACTAAGGTGTAACCCTTGGCCAATTGTGTTGAACTAGATTGTGCTTGATGAGATTTTTGATTTTTTTTTGTTTCGTTCTGTTGTTTTGTGTTATAAAGTGTTTAGTTGCAAATATGATATGGTTTTAGGTGCATTATGTTGTTCCCAAAATTTTGTTTCGCTGCATTTGTACTCATTATATTACACGCCCGAAGGGGTACTTATTGTTGTTACTTTGTATAGATGTTTGTATAATGTTTGTATAATTTAATTGCAAAAAAAAAAAATACTTTTATGTAACATGTTTGCATTATTAGTTGCCAGCTTTAGGGAATTACATAGCATAGCTAATTTTATACCCAAATTACATCGCTTTTTAATAGAGTTTGACAAACTCCGACGTCTAGTGCCAATGCAATATATTTCGGATTAAAATTAAATGAAATATAACGTTAACATTATTATTGTTGGTTTTTGATATTTTTTAACACTGTTATACTTTATTTTTAGCACTAAGTTAGTAATTTAGTCGAGTAGGGAGTAATTTAATCGCTAAAGTCTTTCTAATGTTCGAAATCCGTTTGCACTATTGTTGCAGTACACAACAAAGTGACATTTTGAAAGATCAAGGTTAAACTGGACTGAAATTAGAGGTTCGGATTTGTTTCTCAGTTTAGTGACGTGTGATCGCGTCGCTCGCCAATAGATATTGGATGAACTAAATAACTAAATGTTTTCAGCTTATTTTGTGTAAGGCATTTTAGTTAATTACTAACCAACAGGCTGAATTACTAGCCTAGTGCGAATTAAGCGAGTGTTAAAAAGGTTATCGTTTTATTTAAGATTAGCTGTTCCCGTGCGGCTCCATTCGCATTGGATTATGAAGACCTTTATTTTTTTGTTTATATTTGTCAAATTCTCAATTGCAAATGTCAAAATTACTGTTACCATATCTTTGCTTCCTTAATGTTGGCAGTTTGTAGTTTATGGTCCCTTTCCCACATGGAAATTTTGCCAATTTATTTATCTTCTAAGTTTAATAGCGCATACCATAAAGCTTAAAGCGTGACGCAAGTGTAGGGCTTCTTATTAAAAAAAGAATTATTCAAAAATATGCTGTAATTGCTGACATCTTAGGTAACAAAGAAATGTGTGTTTACGCTTTATTATAATAGTATAGATAAGGTGTAACTAACGTTAACGCACCCAATAACCACTCAGAAACCGCACCTATTACCTCCCTATTCAGAAAACTATCATTTTCATGCGGTATATTAAAGTTACGCAAGTGGTTGCTTTAGAAAAAATATTAATGTAGTGCAAATGTTTACCTCTTGTTTGCGTGTGTAACTATTATTTAATCAGCGAACATTTTCAACTCTTTAAAAGAACAGTAATAATTAGTATTAAGTCGTAAAAATGCACTTTTAATGTTACTTAACGCTCTAAAGATTATTCTACGAGCATAAACTCTTCAGGAACAGTTGTGTCCACTCCCCATTAACTAATGAGGTGATCACTTGAGATATTTAAGGCCAGACAAACGTTTGTGCGCGGTCGTGTTTGATAAGCTCTCGATATGGACGACAATGTGCTGTAAAATATAATTTTACCAGCCTTTGCTGCATTAATGTTGCCGTTTACCTAATTAGTTAATGTATTACTGTTAATCTATACTATTATAATAAAGCGTAAACACACACTTCTTTGTTGCCTAAGATATCAGCAATTACAGCATATTTTTTCTTTTTATACTAAAAAACCCTACATTTACGCTACGCTTTAGGCTATATATTTCCATGGGATTAAACTTAGGGGATAAATATTTTGGAAAAAAAACCCTAATGTAATGGGAAAAAGATCATAAGCTGCTGCCAACATCAAGGAAGCAAGATTGTCAAGGTTTGTCTTTGATAATTTGACAAATGTAAACAATATAATAAAATTTTCATAATTTCATGCTGATGAAGTCGCACGGGAACAGCTAGTCTGTTATGTCAAAGAACTTAACTAATATATGGATCACATGTTTAAAGTAAAAGGACGCGATCCGTGTTTCGATTATTTTGTAAACTAACCTTAGTTGTAGTTTTAACAAGAATTATTAGTTAATATTAACATACTCTATTTTTAATAATTTAAATAATGAATAATTACAAATATCTACGTATAAAATCTTTTCGTTTTGGCTAGTGTTGGGCAAAATTCAATTGCAATTAACAATTAATCGATTGTTAATTCGATTTTTGCCCAACACTGGCCATACATTTATGCACTTTAAAAGTACGTTTGTTAGAAGAAAAAAACAAATTGTTGTAATTTATTCTTCTTTTTTATACGGCAAAATAATTAAAGCTATATCATAAATTATTATATTATTATTGTGTATAAGGTATATAAAATGCATTTAATAATGTAACCAGGCTATTATTTTCGATCCGTTACCTGCTAAGCGGTATATTGTTTCATAAATCAAAATGAAAATTGCCCGCGACGTCAGCGCCCACGGGATCTTTGTCTATTTATTATATTATTTTTTAAAATCTTTACATCATTTATCGTCGTTTAGAAATAGTCTTGTTATTATGCTTTAACACGACATTTATTTAGTCTATACTAATATTATAAGGCGGAATGATTTGTATTTTTGTATGAATTGAAATAACTCAAAAACTACTGGGCCGATTTTGAAAATCCTTTCATCGTTAGAAAGGTAATTTATCTGTGAGTAACATAGGTTATTGTTTTTGATTTCACGCGGGCAAAGTTGCGAGCAACAGCCAGTAATTAGTAAATGGTAAAGAAATAAGTGTTGATAGAGCATCACCGTATTCGGTAGACGTTTCTTTTGATGATATATTATTGAAAACTATTTAGACACTAAGGGCCTGTCCCATCACTGCCTGATAGAGGCTCAGATAGCTTAAAAAAGAGGTCACTGTCATGAAATACAAGGGCGTTAAATAAATTCGATCGTAATAGCATTTTTTTTCTTAACCTTTCCATAAATCCTTGAGGTGAAAACGTGCAGCGTTTATAGTGTGGATAGGGTTGGGATGATGTATCGATATTTTTAAATCTTAAATAATGAAGGTGAAAAGGGGTAACTTATGCCAGGGGCTTAAGTAACAAAAGGTCTTCAAATATTTCACAGCTAAAATAGTTTAAAAACATCGAGGAACTTCTTTCAAAGGAATTTAAAAATTGATTGAATGAATGATAAATGAATGAATGAATATGTATTTATTGCCATAAAATAGAAATTACTTAAAAGGACTTATTCTAAGGAAAACACAATCGTGGCAAAAGGTAGCCAGCTCGTATGCAGGATGGACTAAGCCGTTCCTGCGCTGTTTTCTTTGCACTCAAGTATTATAGTTAAATAAAATATTAAATTCTATCCTTCTGAGGAAAAAAATATTTACAGTTACAAATATCTAGGGTTGTTATAAAAAAAACGTTTATAGCATGAACTCCGAACCTTAACATTCATGAATGCAAATAATTCATATCGAAAGTACATAATTTTTAATTTGTATTAAAATAGCAAATGCCAAAAAACTTGGGTTTTAATTTTGAAATACTTGAATAACGTTCGGCGTAAATTAAAAAATAACATCGCTACATGTTACGGTTAATTACGTGTCGAAAGAGTAGAAAAAATCATGCGTTTTCTGTTAAATTAATTGGAAAGATTTCAAATATACAAGAGAAATTTTACATGTATTCTTTCTGAATTAACTGTCTGAATAGTCCAAAGGTAAAAGTCCCTAAAAATAAAGTCCGTTAGATCAATTGTCACTGTCTTTTTATGTCACCTTTAACGTATGAAACCTCTATCCGAATAATAAATCGATATGTATTACATCAGTAGAGGTCACATCACTAGGCTCGCTTGATTTGCACCCAGCGTTCTGTACAATGCGTTTTCATCACTGTTGTTCCAGCCAATCTTTATTTCCACAGCGTTCTGCCAACGGTTATGTTCGTATTTCTAAAAATAGAAACCTAACAGTTCTAGAAAACTCGTTGCACAGATCTCTCTTTCAAAAATGATTTCTTAATTCTATAATTGGGATAAATGATTTGATAACTGGAAACAAGACTGCAAAATAAAGAGTCTTAAAATACAAAGTTTATGCTGTCTAGGTTTTAATTACTAAATTAGAGACTGCATAATTTTAAATGAACGATATTAGTTGCAAATACTTTCCAATTTTAAATAAATTACAACATTAATGTAGTTTAAGAAAACTGCCAAAACATTTAAAGAGTAAAATTCAACTCGACTTATTAAAAACTTTTACCTGTGACCTTCCACAAAGAAACTAAAAGTTTAAAATTGGTGGGAATTTACTAACCGCCATCTTGCACGTTCCGTTTCTCGTTACAGTGTTGCCATGCGTGAAAATAATATCCGACGCGTTTTGAATTCCCGCCTTTGAGTTGGTCATATTTAACGATTTAAAATTCAAACCTCGAAATTAGAATACGCTTGTTGACATATTAAACAGTTTCAAAATACAGTTAGAGTACAGTTTAATACACATTTTGACTATTAGATATAAATTTTACTAGTGTAGAGTCTCAATATTAATATCTGCTATTAGCTTTTGCCTGCGACTGTCCACGGGAAAATAAAAGAAAATCTACTGGATTTATGTACATTTTTTTGGATATTCAAGAAGTCTGTGTTACAAATACAAGATTGTGGAATTCAAGAGCTAAAGCGGTTCAGCAAATTAAGTAGGATAAGAAATATCGTGATACTACTTTTTCATAGATAATTACAGATGGGAATTACTCTACAAATATTTAGGCAATGGGAATCCAAGTCTACAAAACATTAAAACAAATTTTAAAACAGAAAAGGCGATGCAAAACAAGCCCCTATTTTAAAATAAGACAATCAGAGCTCGCTTCCAAATTAAACGGTTAATTAAAACATTTAACTCGCTGTTAAAATTTTATTCGAGATTCAATTAAATCTAATTTACTTTTGTAGAAAGATTTACACACATCGTAAAAACGAGACGTAAAACTTACTTATGTTTTACGTAATGAAAAAAAAACTGACAATTACAGCTAAAAAAACTAACACTTTCATTTGTTTTAAAGCTAGAAACTTTTTCGTAATCCGTACGAAATTAAAAAAAATACAGCGTATGCGCTATTTGCATATGTGTTCGTCCAGACTATGTTCTATATCTGTGCCAAATTTCATCTATATGTAAAGCCGTGTTTGCAAATTTTCACACTTATAACGCTTATTATCTTCAGGTCTTATTTAAATTTTAACGTAAGGATAAAAAAAATAGATCTGTTATTAAATATTTGATTTTGAGTTATTTGTATAAAAGATTGATTGGACTCAAAGAAATAAATGCAAAAAGAAAAATCAATAAAGCCCACTATATAAATACATTCAGTTTTAACTGACAATATTAACTGAAGAGTCGAACTGTTCAATTTAATCTGAGCGTATCTTTAATACAATTGACTGGGAGCGTGGCGTCTATTGTAATCCGGCTTCTCGGAGGTCTGGTTTGGAGGATGGTTTGAGGTCGGGAGTCCTGGTGCTGTGTGGCCCATGTTGACTGGACGTCCACACTAAGCCTGGTATTGATATGGAACCCCCGGAGGAGTCTGGGGGTTGCAGGTTAACTAAGGAGGGGCGAACCGGGCCAGGGGGAAACCCTAGCTTTAATACAATTTCTTTTAAAAGGACAATGTATTATTAAAAGAATCCTTTCATTATGTTATTTGGGTCTTCATCTATTGTGTAAACAACCTTTTACCTTATCTGATTTCTTATTATTCCGTTATTTATTGATTGTGTACATAAATAAGTATTTAAGGTTAAAAGGGGAAAGCGTAATTTACCTTCATGTCATTTATTCTTTGATCTGTATAAAATGTAGTTTTTCTAACGAAACCTCTAACTTATTGTTTGATTTTTTCGTATTGACATTTTAGTTAATCTAGGATCAACTAGAAAATCAAATATTTCGTTTGCCGAAATTTAAACAAACAAACGTTCGTGACGTTTGCAGTTTGTTGTTTTTTTAAATTTCAAATTTTCGATTATCAACATTGATATGATAAAAATGCAAATTATAAAATAAATACTGTGATGCTTTTTTAAATACATAGAGTTTATTTTATTAATTTATTCATTTTATTAACTAATAATAGATAGAGTGCTTTGGAGGACGAAAACCTGGCGCGCCGACCCTACGGGAGTAGGATAAGGCAGGGAAGATGATGATGCTTTTATTGATAGAATTTTATAATAAATCAGTAAATCTGAATGTACAAGTGGCAGTGCAATTCCAGTAGAGAGAGGCAGACTCTTAAAGAGTCAAAAATTGGAAAAGAATCTTCCAGAATCTTTGAAATACAAATGCATTTTTACTACTAGCAAATCTTTATCATCATCTTGGTACACTGGAAACGCCCATGGTATGCACGTTTTCAGAGTAACGAAGGCACAGAGACCTTAAGAATACGTAATGATGTGTATAAGTATTGTGCCGACCCTCTTTAGGAAAAAAGGACAAGGTGATGATGATCATGAAAACAAGAAGTAATGGTATTTATAATATAAAACGAGATTTTCATAGTTCCACAGTAATCGCGTTTAGAATGTTTTTCTTAGATTAATTTTTGTAAAGGAAGTTTTCTTGAGCAATAGACTTCAACGATCAAGATAGAGCTTCGAAGGGATTTTTAAACAAAGTTTTATTACCTTAATTAAATCAGCATAATTAATTGAACTTTCAATTTGTTATGATTTAATATAATTTCAATATCAATTTAACCAGATCAGAAAAAAGAAATTAGGTACTTAGTAATTTAAATTTGTAATTTACTTAAAAAGCAATGAGTTGTTATAAATTAAAACTCTATTTTTCGAAACAATTACAACATTGTTATTAACTATTAACATTTGTATTATTTTTATTTAATTTTTGTGAAAAAAATTTTAAATAAATAAATAAATATATTCTAAAAAATCGAGAAATTAGTTTAGTTAACAGAAGGTGGAATGAAATGTTATCCTAACAGTCGAGTAAATACAGTCAACATTATTTACCAAATACTTTGTTATTCAAACTGTTTTAAGTATTTTAAAAAGATAAATTAAGATTTAGACTAAATTGATCCCCAAAATATTTTGTCTTTATGTGAAAAGCTAGATTTATTGCATGTTTCATTTTTTAAATTGTATTACTGATTGATGAAATTGTCAAAATCAAATTAAGTAATTGATTACATTATGTTCAATTATAAGACATCTTTATGGTTATAATTCAACATAACTGTATATGTCTAACAATTTATAAATCAAGTTAAAAATATTAACAAAAAAAACTTTTAAAACACGATTAAAAATTAATATTGTTGAGAACTATTTTCTTTATAGTTACGGTAATTATTATAAGTGCTCCAACAAATAATTTATAACTAAACGAATAAAATTTAAAAATAACGAATGTGTAATTAAAATTAAAAAACTTAGCTAATAAATAACTAAAACTTACCTGTCAATAACGTCACTATTGGTGAGATGTGATGAGCTTCTGGTGAGCTTTGGGCAGCGCAGTCGAAAGCTCGAGCGGGAGTGAGGACGGCAGCAGTTCGCAGGGCTTTTTATCGCTGCTACAGCTTACTTCAGATCCGCGGCCCGTAACAGGTGGGCGGCGGAGCATAGGGAACCGTGGAGTCGTCTATTCATTGATTTTTTTGAATTCAAAAATCTATACCGTATTAACTTACTTATTAATACAATGAAAGCAATGTTCTTTCAATATATTAAAATACTAGCTGTTGTGACTTCGTCCACCTGTAATTAAAAAATAGTACAAAATATGTTACACACTGATAACGTAGTATTTTAACGGTGAAAGAATTTTAAGAAAATTTAATTTTTGAGTTATTTCAATACATGCCATAATAAAAATCTCTCCTGTTTTTAAAATAATGGTAAAGATGACTTGAAATATTTTGTTTTACTTTTATTTCAATAATTTACGGGATTACTTAAAGAAAACAATCTTATTCAGCTTTCAACATGATAAATATTACTAACATTACATATTCAAGTTAAAAAAATATCTTTGAATGACCATGGTTTTCAAAATAATTTAAATCGCAGTCTACTCCATGCTTTTCTGTATCCCGCTGCGTTAGTACGTGTAACGCACGTCGCGGGAGCTTTGGGAGCTTCGTAATTAAGCTCTTTCGTGAGATCAGCTCGAGTAAGGCAGCGCCCGGTTCTTTAAACTTTAATAAACTTGTCGAATACCCGCCCGACCCGCGCCTCGCGATGCTTAACGCGATAAACCCTTTGTTTTTAATTACTTTAAAGCACATATGCATAGATATAAGTTTGTTTACATAATTTTTAATGTAATCGACTAAAAGTAAAGTTTTTTGTAATTATTTTCTTAATAATAGATCCATTATCTTGCTATACATTGCAACGAATAGTTGATATTCGATACTGAACGATATTTAACAGTATAAGATATCGACAAATTAAAAATAATTAAAAAACATCGATAATAATAGTCTACAAGACTGCTACGCGAGTGCTACGCTATGCCATCTACGAGCTGCATCTCGTATGTTTTTGTTGTATTTACACTTTTATTTAAAATTACCAAAAGGCCTTTTTAATATTGTACCCTATCCTTCATTTCTGTGGATCATTTATAAACACGATGTCTTGTTGTAAAGTGGATGGTGTTATGCCAAAGGTGTTAATTTACTTTAAATTGTACACAATATTATAGACTAGAAATTCTTCATACCATATAATTCTGGATCAATCTATCTACATAGTGCTTAAGTTTATTTTACTAATTTATCACCAGCTAACTGGGTGACATAGTGCACTGCGGGACTTCACATATATCTTTAAATTTCTCGCCGATATGTGCAACCATCGCGATAATCCTTCACCATTAAAACGTCGGTTAAATTATGTACATATGAAAATCACATTGGGACATACCAGGAATCGAACCGAAAACGCATAGATTACAAGTCAAGTGCCTCTAAGATATGACGTTCTACTAATTAAGATAGATAATAAATCAAACAATGCGTGGAATTAAGATGTCCTCATTCAACAAAGGCATTCGATGCGTGCCTTTAGCGATGACTAATGCTTAAAGCAAACCAACAAAGTCTAGATATCGCATTAGCACTGTTCAAATAACTCTCTAATCCGATATTTCAACTGTCTAGATGCTTGCACTAATTAAACAATTGACTGATGCTTCTTAATACATTCTATACTAGCTGTTGCTCGCGACTTCATCCGCGTGAATTAAAAAAAGTATAGCCTATGTTACTCACAGATAAATTACCTTTCTAACGGTGAAGGAATTTTTAAAATCGACCCAGAAGTTTATGAGTTATTTCAATACATACAAAAATACAAATTTTTCCTCTTTATAATATTAGTATAGAAGATAGATAGTGATTTTTTTAATCTAACTTTAAAAGTACTGAGTCGATTTCAAAAATTCTTTCACCATTAAAAAGCTACGTTATCAGTTAATAAAATAGACTAATTTTTAATTCACGCGGCGAAGTGGCGAGCAATAGCTAGTGCCTTATACTGTCGTAATAAATAACAATAGATTGTAACGAATTCGCGTTCAATTGTTTTTTAGCACAACATAAGTCATTTTTAAATGAAAATTTCAACAATTATACAGGTTCTAATTTTTGCTAGGATTTAGTTAGTGGGATTGCGGCATTCGAACTCATGATAGAAATATCGATATTTGATACTCCTAACCACTAAGTTATTGGCACTTCAATTAATTACATAACAATCAATACAAATACAAATACTTAAGTGTTTTGTCTATCGTTCTCGACAATACTAATAATATAGATGTAATTACATATTTAGATAAAAAGGAGAGAAACAAAAGCAACGGAATATTCAAATGGCCATTTTCCGAAGTAGTTTTGGATGTTTTAATCAATGTTGCATTAATAATTTAACAAAAACACAATCGCATTTGTAACAGAGTATTGAATTTTTACCTTTTGCATAAACCTTACCTCCCGCCTCCGAGTCTAACTATATTGCAACGCATTTATTTTAAAAAATAATAGTGCTGAATATTGCCACAAACTGTGTCATCAATCATGACGCTTTTATGACATTACTAGTCACCCGAGACTCCGTTAGGATCGAATTTAAAAAAAATAAGAAGTATGCCCTCCAGACAATCCTCTACATCTATGTCAAATTTCATCGAGATCCGTTCAGCAGTTTAGGCTACAAACTCTAACAAACATCTAAACTTTCGCATTTATGTTATTAGTTAAAATTCAATGTTAGACCGTTTTTAAGACAATTTGTCTAAGATACACCGTGTCATTGATTTAAAATGTTATTTGAGATTTTACTTACTAAAACTACCTCGGTGGCCATCGTTCTGGTGATTTCCAAAACAAGTCTTGCTGGTGACGTAGTTCCAGTTTTATTCCCTCTTTATCCCTTTCTTATAAAAAGAGGTTTGCAAGGGAAAGTGTATTTGACTATAGAGGATACGTATAGGAATGGGAAATAAAATAAAGTGCGTTTCCACTGTAGATTAAGTGTTAGCAATGCATCTCCAATTGCAGATGTCTTTGGATAGCTGTTGTTTCGCTATTTTGACGTATAAAGTGGATTTGACGGTGGAGGAAACGCATAAGAAGGGAAAATACCCTCTCTATGTGCGTCTCCTCCGTCTATAGGCAACGCATCTGCAACTGCAGATGTTTGTGGGCAGCGGTCGCTTTCCAATTTCGATGGATTCAGGTGACCGCTTGCTCGTTTGACACCTTATGTTTTAAAAAAATACAGGTGACCTTTGCTAATTAATTATTTAAAAAGAAGGTTACATTTTGAATGTCTATGTTATGGTAGATTTATTTAGTAACCTTGTTGGTATTTTAGCATGTCAACGATTTATGTGAGTCAAGTCCTTGGGTCATCCCGACATGACATGCCTCGCTGACTCATCAATGTCCATCTATAAAGATTACAAAGGTGTTCTTGTTTTCTAATAACCTTAGAATATGCACATACAGCGTGTTTCGAAATGCTTATAGAATGCTTAGGAATTTAGAAGTAATAACTATTTTCGTAATCGACTCAAGAAACTTATGTTAATTGGAATACTACGCTTACTTAATACTTAAGTGTAATAGTTGTGGATTAATAAGTTATGTTTACATTTCTCAATTATTTACTTAGTACTTTTAAAATAACATAAAAATGTAAAATGTATGTATTGTAATATGTTATATTATTGTAAAATCTTTAAATTCTCGTGTTTGTAAATTTTTTCAATGAAAACATAATAATTTTCGTAATTCGAGTATTGCACAGATTATACTAAAACACATAAATTACAATACATTTAAAAAAATACATATTTCTCTCACATTTTTGAAAACAAAAATATCCAAAATCTGATACGTATTGTCACCTTTTTTATTAAAAATAATTTTAGGAGCGTACAAAAACATACAAAAATATATTTGCGTTAAGATTAGAAACACGCTGTATACAATGAAATCGAGCAGATTTCACCTTTTGTTATGAGAATAGCGACCCTTTTCATTACCTATAAACTATTGTTCTTCGATTTCAATAAGCCTCTATACATTCCAGAAAACTATATTATCCTGCACCTGTGCGATATCAGTTAGTTGTACGAACCGAGCCGAACGCATCACATTCAACATTCGAACATGTCTTCCAAATTTAAAATTTTATTTATATTTTCATTCATAACGTGGTGTTGTGCCAGTTACAGGGAACAGTACAGAGGTTGTATATTGTGTTTTTTATTTTCCACTGTTTTTTGTGTTAATATTATCTGTGATACATTCTTATTTCCTAGTTTTTTTTAAAAAATCATTTTCTTTATAACCGGTGTATTCCAGCCCAAATACTCATACAAAAGATATTGTCATCCTTACTAATCTACTGTCTCCTTCTAATTCACTTTATAAAACCGAGATAACAATATGTTTTGTACAGGTAATTCGGCAATGGAAACTCACAGACACCTCGGCACCTTTCTCTCGCAAACTTTTAAGTACCCACTTATATTCAATCAATTAACAAAAAAAACCCCTAATTCGCACGGACGCTTTTACAACGCATTGTATATCTTCAAATGCATATCTTCATACAACAGCGCTTTTAAAACGCTACGCTTTTTTACGCAGCAACCGACGCGTATTTAAAACGCTGGGCGTAATAAAGAGTGATTCTAAAACGTACAAAAGCGTTAAAAAAACGCTAACGCTTAAGCTCCCGTGCGAATATGGGCTAAAAGTATTTAATTACTAATCGGTAGATAATCACAATTAGTTTAACATTTAAATATAGCTTGAATTAGAACTAATTTAATTTAAATAAGTATTACGCTTCAGATTTTTATAATTGTATTGTTATTTATGTAGATATCTGTGAATGTGCGTAATTTGAAATTTGAAATTGAAATTGAAATTTATTTATTAAAAACAGATTAACAATTAGCAATAAAAGTTAAAACCAATTAAAAGATAAATACAAATAGTGATAAATGTAATTGATGTAGTGATGCCCACACTAGGCAATAGACGAATACTTTGCTCTCACATACCGCATTCCGTATATTTACAGGAATTTAACAATATACCATAAATAGTTTATTACTCAAAAAGTCCGCGTAGTGTGGAGTTTTCTACTGGAAATCTTTAGTGTATTAACGTAAATATTCGCTTAGTAATTATTGAAATACAATCGTAGTAAGATTTGTAGAAAGTGATTAGAATTGTTTCGAATATTCGGGAGAATATTTTTATAACGTCATCGACTTTGTTACATTTACAGTGGTAGAGTCCGCTTTAACATCTTCGAACGAATGGGCCGGCTCGCCCGGTGAAATACCACAACCACACAGAAAACAGGCGTGAAATGGAAGCAATTCCACGTTTCGTCCGATGAGTATGGTGCCGGAGGCCTAATTTTAGTCCCTTTACCTTTCCACCCTATTCTTGCGAGGATAGAATGGAAAGGAAAAGTGGATTTGACGGTGGAGGAGACGCATAGGAAGGGAAAATATCCTCTTTATGTGCGTCTTCTCCTCCGTTAATTAAGGGTAGGCAATGCAGCCGCTATTGCGAATGTCTATGGGCAGCGGTCGCTTCGCAATTTCGGCGGATTCATGTGGTTGCTGGCTCGGTTTCTACCTTATGATATAATAAAAAAAACAATTCCCTTCCCATCCTTTCCTTATATGAAAAGGTTGTAAAGGGAAAGAGCAAGGGTACTAGAATTAACTAATTAACTCAACTTCTTTCGATTAAAGTGATATTTTAATTATTTTACGATAATTACAGTTCCCCACGAATTCTCCCAGAATTGGGAAACGTACATATTCAAGGACAAGGAATATCTCATCCAGAATTTGCCCGTCAACTGGGAGAATGCGAAAATATTGTGCCAGTAAGTAACAAAAAACGTAAATAAAACTAGCACTAATCTACTCAATAATTGCTAAAAAAATAAACAAGTTAATTTAAAAAAATAATCACAGATTCAATTCCATATCAATGCTACTTCAACTAATAATTAAAATAATTTGACAAAGAGTAAGTAATATAAATACTTTTAATTTATAAAACGTAAAGTTAGTCTTTGATAGAAGTGAAATAGAGACCCAAAATCACTAAACTCCAAGACTCCGTTTAATAGTCGTAAAAATATTTTAAAAACATCGCAAATTATCACATAACATAGCTAAATATACAATAAGGTTACATTATATAAAAGTAATTTCTATTGTATTGTTAACCTTACTTTGTATTTAGTTTTTAAAATAACATCACCGCTGAAAACTCCAACAATAGCTACATATTATTGTTTCTATAATTGTGTCATCATTGTAATTTTTAAATCTTACAGAGGTCATCACAATGGAAATTTAGCGACATTGGATACAAAAGAAAAATCTGATTTCCTCGCAGAAGCACTATCGGAATCACAATTAGGTGATATTTTTATATTATCTACTAGCTGTTTCCGTGCGACTTCATCCGCATGAAATTATGATAAATTTATTTTATTGTTTACATTTGTCAAAGTGTCAATTACAAATCGAATTGGATTTCGCTATAAATTTTGTCATCGATAAATTCTCTACACTATAATCAATACTAGAATTGTCCTATAAATTAGTTAATAAGAAAATAATAATATTAGTTAAGTTTGATAATTATTAAAACCTAATATCGATAGTTCAAAATTGTCCGCAATGTGTGTTTGTTTCGTCACTACGATATCTGTCTATTAAGTATGGCATATGCTTTCACACAAATTGAATTCGATACTTCATATGCGTCATTTATCAAACTAGTCTATCTGATTTAGACAAAGTATAGCCTCGCTTTGATTCCTATGATCTTATTGAAGGTGTGAACACTAGTCGATGTTTAGTTATGCAACTAAATAGTTGTTTCACAAACAATCGAGAATCAAACACAGATGTGCGATATTTTAATCAAAGGTGTGCGCATATTTAAGGTACTAAATACTAAATATTTTATATGATCTAGATATAAAATAAGGATGTGAAATAGTCAATAACAAAGGATAATGTGTGTACAGAGATAGACGCGGTGTGGGTAGGCGCGCGGCGGGAGTCCAGTGAGGACCCGGAGGGGTACCGTTGGAGCCGAGGCTCCGAGCTCCGTCGCACGGCCGCTGATATACTGAAAAACGAAAAAGACGAAAACGCAGTCAGACACTACCCCTTGGTAAATTTACAATCATATTAACAGATTTTATAATACAATATTATTTATTAAATAGTTTTCGCCCGCGACTCCGTCCGCGTGGAATAAAAAAAAGCGTATGTGTTCTTCCAGACTATCCTCTACGTCTATACCAAATTTCATCGAGATCCGTTCAGCCGT